GCAATGCGGAGGCGTTTCCTAACATCACCTACGACTCCATTGAAACATTCCACACACTGAGGACCTGTTCATCCGTCTGCATGGAATGGTTGACCCACATAAGGCATACGTAGTCGTCTTTGTGAGACCCCTGCTGTAGTAAAGGTGGGCTGTTTTAAACAACAGTTTTAACTTAACATGACACGCGCAAACACCTGTGTAAAATAGTAACCATATCAGAGGCGGCACACTGACAATTGTTGGATTGGTAGCACGAGATGGCATTGGTTGTATTACATTGATAACGTAACCGAATCGTGTTTAACCACTAGTGCTGGTCCACTGTATGTATGTCCAACTGCTTGGGGTTATCCTTACAAAATCCTTCAAAGATGCCCTGCGTGGACCTGTTTTTGTGCACATATTGTATATATATAAAAAATATATTTGCGGCGTTGTGAGAACGAGTGATTATTTGCAACCATGGCAACATTTTAAGAAAAGCACCAATATGATTAAAATGCTCCACATGGACTCAACTAAACCACCATTAACAATGAACTCGGATTCACAAAATTGTCCAAAACTTGAATTCCCACATATGATGATGCGACTTCAATGAGCGGTCATGTGCGGCCAAGTCACCTCTGAAAAATAGTTAATAGCGCAATGGGCTTCATCTGGAAAAGCAAATAAAAACCCAACATGTCACGTGATAATACCCGAGCATGTTTCAAGGTTAACCTGCACTTTTTGATCAAGATATTCCTAAAATAATAACATACCGCAACAGATGGTTTTGTGGAGCGTTAGTGGTATCGTCTACAAACTCACGTGTGAAATTTAGCATTTCCAATGAGGTGGCAAAATAATGCGCCAATTGCTGTGCGATGGAAGCTGCTGGTGCTGCGCACTATCAAGGCGGTCCAAATATACAGGTTAAAGTTCCGTAATGCGTGTATCACACACACACGTGTGTTTTAGTGGTGCTAAAGGTTTGGAAGTGCAAAAGTCGGTCAACAAGTGGTGAGGAACTGAAAGCAGACGTCTTGAAAAGGGCTGCATACGTTCCCTAAACGATCTTAAATCTCTGGCATCGCAACACCGAAAGGGACAAAAGGGGTATTTGCAACGGCAGAAATCCTTAAATTCAATTTAGAATTTTCGAAAACTATAAAAGAAAGATAACGTCACAGAATGAGAATAAAACTATAAAATAAAATAAGACAATTCTCACGACGTTTCGGCCACAACACATTTAGCCTTCTTCAGGTGAAGGAACAGACCTGTCGGGACGACAGTGCTTCAATGAACGCTGCTAAGATTCGTAGCGTCTTTTAAGCTCGGTGAGAGGCGTGGAGCGGCTTGACAAAGTTTACATATCAAAACATGACAATTTAGCATTGAAATAGCTGAGGGATTAGCTTGTGACAGAAATAGCTATGTTAAAGTCAAAGTCTACATATCAACAGAGGCATTTAGTAGTTGGAGGCCTTTAGCGTACTTGTGTTGTGGCCGAAACGTCGTGAGAATTTCATTGTCTTATTTTATTTTATTATTTTATTCTCATTCTACGCGACTTTACCGAAAGAACCAAAGAAGATGAATCCTTGCAGTCACAAACGCTTTAAATCTAAAAATGAAAGATAACGTTGAGAAACCCTCAGTGCATGATGTATTTTAGAGAATGGGTGGAGAATGGCAGAGGATGGGATAAGGTACTCATTACACACATGAATTCAATTATTCCTTAATGCAGAAAGCCCTACCAGTAATGCACTTATTTAATTACGTCGATTAGTACACAAAGATGGGGCGGGCTTATTAAGAAAGCCCAACAGGATGGCTTGAAACACCGTATTCACAAACACGTTCTCTGATATATTTTTTTCCCAAAAGCTCCATATGCGCGTACTGCATGAAGTACGAATCCTAAATGAAATTTAGCAAAACGTATCATTAAAACGCTGGGCTTAGAAATGCAAACACGGTGAAGGTAAATTTGATATATTTTTTGCTTTTCTTCTGAAGAGGCGAGCACATTTTTTTTAAATGTTCACACACGTGACCCACCACTATAAAACCACAATGCACCACATGCACAGTACTGGGCAATACAACAGCGGGGAGGGATGCACATCCACAGCACAGCAACTGTTAATTAAAAAAAACTCATGGAGGGAAAAAAACACGAGCTCATGGTAAAGGTTTACCATCAATTCATGCTTGTTCAATGAAACTTTAGGTCAATCCAATTATTATCACTTCCGATAGGTTTTCGGGTTTCACTGCATGTTGTTCGGCGGAGATGCCCAATGTTTCAATGCAAGTTCTGGTAACTGCTTTTAAGAACTGAATATCATGTGCAGCGAAACGTCGGACATCGTCAAAGAACCCCAAAACACCATCGAAGACCTGACCTAAACACAGCACAGCCACGAAAACCCGCTGCAACGTGACGTGTCCACAATCGTTTTCTGTTTCTCTACAGTGTTGCATTATGGTCCCTCCAGCTCACGAAGAATTATTTCAGGTTTTCACCACGAAGTGTAAAACTAATCTTATTTACATTCTGTACCGCGATACTGTTCTTTTTTTAGACTGACGGCTATATGTGGCAAGCACTATGGATTCAGTTTTGGAAGCGTCCCCATAGCGTGTTTTCCAAGCCCCCCCCACTCACACCCTAGCTCTCGTCACCGCTCTCCCCTCGCCAAATTATTTCCCAGCACCACCGTGCAATCGGGCGTCTAGCTCGGCGAGGTGACCCGGCTTGGTTAAGAACGAGGCTAAAGCGTAAATAAGATTAAGAATATGTTATATAAACAGGGCATGCTCCAGCATTGGTGAGAGCCTGAAGCTTTTGGGTGGAGGGGGGGCAGTGGTGACGACTCCCCTTCGGGACACATTGTACAATCCACTGCTGGATGAGGGCCAACTCACGCTTGCAGGTCAGGGGTGGCACCGTTGAGCCTCTCGAAATTTGAGGCTCAGTGAGACTCAAGACTGTTTTGCATCAATTCGGGTTGGTGAAAGAGGCAAGTGCAGATGTTAAACAATACAAGCCCGAGACGGCAACACATGATGCTGCAATGCCCCCTCTGCTGCTCGCCTCGTCGACAAGCGGTGCACAATGATCACTTATTCAAGCGCCATCGAGGAAAACGAGTCGACTTTGCTTATTCAGACCCGATAAGAATTCGAGGCATTGCAGGTGATTGGGTTATAGGCGGCTCACGTGAAACGCGCGTTGAAAGGTAAGTGGTGAACGCTACCTCCCGCCCCCCACACATCGGTAGTGGCCAGTGGGAGAACTTATATAACACTTCGAACGACTATTTCCAACAATGCACTGTATGACAGGGTGTGTGTGTGGGAGGGGGGGGACTTTTTCCTTACCGAGGGCCAAATAGGAGTTTCAAATACCTTTGGCAGGTCACGTTAAACAGACACACACGAAGCAGTCTATTCTGTCACCGCAAACAGGCCCTTTGCAGTGACAGAAGTTACACTTAAATTAGAAACACGCCAGTTGCCACTGGAAGTGTGCAGCGGAAGAGAAGAGAGAGATGCATATCTGCGGGCCCTTTTGAAGTGGAAGAACCATTGTGCGGTCGAGGGCCCATCTGTAAGTATCGTGGACGAGCCGAGCGTCACTCCGACCACCCTTGTTTAGGCCGAATGCGAGCGAGCGATGTCACGCGTGGAGGATGAGCATTCGGAAACTAACGCTGTACACGACGAGGATTCCATTCGAGGTGTCGGCAGAAAAGGGAACAGCACCTGGGAGTAAGCCGTACTGGAAACGTAATTGGCTCTAAGGCAGGCGGCCAATGGACAGCTTGCATATCAGTAATTTAATAACATCTTCTGACAAGCGATTCTTTAAAATCATGATCACTCCCCATTTCCCATTCACTGCAGTGAGCAAAGTGCATTGAGAAGCGATGTCGTTTTGAATTAAGACAATTAATATACAGTATACAATTGTTATACACTGGCATATAACCTCTGTTAAAGAAGCTATGTTCAAAGTTGTGAATCTGAGCAAATGTTGATATTTTCACGTGAGAGCCTCTAATACAGCACATGCTCCAGCACCAATTCAGCACCTTGATATTTCATTCTGTCACTGAACAAATTCCGAGGTGCTGTGCCAATTATTCCGAAAGGTGTCGATAATCAGCAGCTTGGACGATTCAATACAAATTTCTCCACAATTCTGGTCCAATGCAAGTGAAATACTGTTCGTGAAATTATTAAATCACAGCAAACTGTACAAACTATTTACATTGCAACGACAACATTGTACACTTTCATATTGCTTATTGTAAATTATATATGCATTGTGTATATTTCCCAAAAAATATCAAACGGCAGAAAAAAACCAAGTCTTAATATTGTTATACTACCTCTTCGCAAATTAATTTACAAAGCAGCTGATAATGCCACGTCCCATTTCAACCACCACACGCCAAATGTCGTTGAAGAAACCCTAGCCCCCCCCCCTGCACCGTCAAAAAAGCGATTGTTCATTTCCTCGTGATGGACACCTGCACGGCAGTATCGACAACGATTATTGCGTGTGAATTGGTGAACGTGGCCGCAAGTCTGCGGCGGTGGGGTTGCAATTGTGGCCGTCTCGCTCCTAAGAGGCCACGGTCACCAAACGCAAAACCCCAGCGGCTGACAAAGCCCTCCCGCCCTCCTTCACCACCTCCGACAGCCACGTCTGCGTGCACAGCCCACACAGACCGAGGCATCGGATTTTTTTTTTCCCCCAGTCACTTGCAGAATGTCACTCCCGTCTCCCCGCCGCACCCCCCTCCACATCGAAAGCAATTCCTATCCTCGGGTTTCCTCTCCCTTGATCCATTTCATTCGCCCATTCTCGTGGCTGTCAGGGCGCGGGTGCACTTTACTTCCCCTCGTCGGCGAGTGCTGGACTCAAAATCCCGTGCCCGCTCCGCGATGCGCGTGTTCTTCTGCTGCGCCTCTCAAAGAGACGACTTGAGCGTGTGTTCACGTCATCTGCGTCCATAAACTTTATTTTTTTTGTCATCCAGCACGATCGATGTGACCACGGCCGAGGTGGAACGTACCGTGGCTGTCACGCGTTACAGCACAATCGGAAACCGGACAACGGCATGCAAAAGTTAATTTATCGCTCATGAGCCGAGCTCACGTTTGTACACGTGACCATACCCCCCCCCCCCACCAAAACCTCTAATCATTGGTGCTCGCTTAAAAAATGATCAGTCGTACCACTCTACTCGGAGCACCATTTAATATTAATCAAATTTGAGTTCTCATGGCAACGAGACTCGCGGTCGATAATTTTAAAAGCAAAAACGGGCAGTGGCGTTTGTTATTTTCAAATATCTTGAAGATTTTTATCTCAAAAAGTGTACAAATCAACGAGGACACACATAAGGGTGTCCTCAGTGCATCCTGACCAATCACCTGCCCCATCCAAGCAAAACACGAGGAAATCGCACCCCCCAAATATAGACAAACGCTTTACATAACAATTTAAGATCTTTTGATGGCCAAACATAGCCTTTCCATGCATACCGAGGCATTTAGAGTGTCCCACCTTTAAGCATTCAGCACTAAACCCCCACCCTCGCTGTAAACACAAGTGTAAAGAGCACACATTATTAATATTCACACAAACGACGTGCCGTGGTGCAAGTAATGCCCACCAAAACGAGCTTAAACCGAAATCATTAAATAATTTCATATTTAAACAACATGCTTTTAAAATAATTTCTCACACATAACATTTAAAATGTATCTCTTACGAAGTGGGAAAATAACAAAAATTGGTCGAAAGGATAAGTACAGTCACGGCTTGATTTCAGCTGGGTCCATCCAGGTCGGTGACCCGGAAAATATTCCTGGCACCCAGCACTACCCAAGTCCAGTAAACGTCTCGCTATGGCTGTGGTTACTCGTCATGTGTCTACTACAGTCTAGCAGCGACCCAGAAAATAGGCTCTGGGTACGGTTGACATGACTAGCTGCTGCCAAGTTCAATAGCAAGTCGGGCGAAACACATCGGCAGCAGCCCAAGCAACACAAGCCACCAACTTCGCACACCACCCAAACTCTCCGCAGACACGCATCAACCAACACTAGCGCGGCAACCGGTTATAAAAGGATATAAACACGAAATTTAATGTGTTGAAACCTTTAACCCGTTCGACGACAGATATGACGGATGACATCGATGACAACACGATCGTCTGCTCTGGAGACGATCACGGGATTTTGCGTGCAAGTCGAGGCCGGGCGATGAAATCGGGGGCGCAGCTTTGGCAAAAAGTTTATCAACGTCTCCGCTGGCACACACTCGGCTCACGAGCTCCCGACACTCTTTGCCACTGCCGGCGGCACGAGCCGTCGGGGGGGGGGTTTCCTTCTGCCGTCTGGCGTGCGGCACCTCGCAACCAAACCGCGGCCACCGCCGCTCCCTCTCCCCCCACCTTCCTACACAAGCAGCGAGCCGAGGTCGGTGCCAATGTCGAAGAGGTCACTGATGCCCTCGCTCTCCGCCAGGCTCCACAGGTAGTCTTCGGGACCGAGCGGCGGTGACAGGGCGACCAAGGGCAGCTCCCCGCTGGTCTCCGTCTCCCAGGGCAGCTGGTCCTCAGTCTGCATGAGCAGGCTGCGTCGCGGCGTGCCGAGCGGAGATGGACCGCCAGGCGCCGCTCCGTTCTCTTCGACGTTCACCGGCACGGCCAAGCAGTTGACCGATGCGCCGTCGAGGCTTAAAACGTCGTTGCTGCCGCACGCCATGAGGGCCAATGCCAGGTCTCTCCTCACCGAGTCTGTAGAACCAGGCACGAGGCGGAACTTAGGAGGTACATTCATTATAGCTGTAGGTTAGAGTCGACGTTACGGCTATGGGCAATCATTAAGTTTACAGTCACTTTAGGGGGAAAGTGAAGATTTTGTATGTTCAGAGTAAGTTACAGGTTAGCATCAGGTTTTGCTACCCATGGAGAGTTATAGGTAAAGCAAGTTACATTTAGGGGTATGTTCTATTTGTATAATGTAGCTAGATTTAGAGCAATAGGCATAGCCATGGTTAATGAGGGTAATATAAATGTGTGTGTATATAGTTAATAAAACATCCAAAATGCCAAGCGACCAGCAGCAAACAGCACTATCAAAGTGGTAATTGATAAGAGTTAAAACACGTTTCTTGAAATGAAGCTAGGTTATTATAAAAGTTTGGAAATAGAGAATGGGAGGAGCGGATTCTAAAGTTTAGCGGTGCAAAGAAAGAAACAGACAGAAGTGTTGTGACCTGCAGCGTGGTGAGTGAGTTGGTTGGTGAGAGTATGACCTGCAGTGTGGTGAGTGGGTGAGTGAGTTGGTTGGTGAGAGTATGACCTGCAGCGTGGTGAGTGAGTTGGTTGGGAAGAGTATGACCTGCAGTGTGGTGAGTGGGTGAATGAGTTGGATGGTGAGAGTATGACCTGCAGTATGGTGAGTGGGTGAGCGAGTTGTTTTTTTTAGTGTGACCTGCAGCGTGGTGAGTGGATGATCAAGTTGTTTGGTGTAACGTATGAGCTGCAGTGTGGCGAGTGGTTGGTGAGAATGTGACCTGCAGAGTTGTGGTGGTTGAACAGTGTGGATGAGACAAAACAATCGGTCCGGCAGAATGAATCCTCAACATAAGCAGAGGAATCAACAAGTCAAGTTCACAGGTTGGTAGTAGCGACAGATAAGTGATAAGGAGGCAGCTGACCACTGGTGAGCACGTGGTTTGAGTGATTTACGTTAAAATATGTTTAAGTATAGCGATGGAGAAATCAGGTGTTCCACCCCAGATATAACAGCTTTTCAACTTCGGCCAACATATACTAGTGATTATTGGTTGATGCCATCTTTACAGTCGGTAGGCACATGTGGATAAGGGCGAAGACCCCCACCTCTGCTTGTGGCGTCCGGCGACCTTCCCCGCGCCTCGCCGGAAGTTCCCTGCTGATCCGGAGTGCACGGCGTTAGCTCAGAGCTGGCGCCGGCACCGCCGCTCGTGCCACTCATGGGGCTGTCGGGCGCCTCGTCGGGGCACAGGTACACCTCGATGGGGCCTCGCTTGCTCAGGAGGTGCATCCGAAGGTTCTGCGGAAGCAGAACGCGAGACACGGATAAACTTCAACAATTGGACATGGGTGAATTGTTTCCTGCGCCTACGATTTGCATGGTTGGCTACGTACGGTGAAGGAACGTCAACATACACAGTCACGTGAGAATTGTTTCCGTCCCAAATCCGTTTGTGGTTTTAATGATCAAATTCGACAAAGCCGAGATTGGGAATGGCTTCTAATGTTGCTAGAAATAACGATGGTGAAAGCACGTCTCCACGCTCGACTCCCCTTCTGGTGAGTATTTTGTTACTTCCTTTGGGCATTCTCAGTGGAGCTGAGATTGCCCGTTGAGACAACGGAGGGTAGAAAATAATCAAGCGAGACAAACGATAAAGATTGGCAAGAAATGTAAAATATTTTTTGTTGCATAAAAGTTGCATTACGTGCAGTTGTTTAGTCGGTGGAACAAAAATACTGCAATTTTTTTTCAAAGGAAACAGCCATGGATCAATTGTCTGAAAAATGTATTAATAAAACATCATCATCAAACCACTGCTCGATGAAGGCAGTGGATTCTTACGGATCTACGATGCAGAAATCATTAATTTCAAGTGTTATTGTGCCGGGCATTTGTAGACTACGAAAAGGAAATTGATGGCCATCAAAGCTCTCGCAAACAGAAGCCTCTCTTATATACATCAAAATGTGAGATTTCTAAACTGAGATTACATCGAGATATAAAAATTAAAAAAGACTTAAACAAGGACTACAGTAGAGCACTGCATTTAAAATGTTCATCAGTGACTATTTCTATTTTTTTTTACAACAAAAAACTCCCTGCTGCAATACTCCGTGTGCCGAGGGTTCATGCACACGTGGCGGGGGAGGCTGAGATCGTGGCCAGCTCCGCCACGCGCCACCTCGGAGTCACTTTCCTCCGCAAAAAAATCTACTCGGGACGCACGGGGCAGCAATGCCAGCGACCGAGTGAGGGAGTGGAGGAGAAGGCTGAGGGGGAGAGGGTGGGGGTGAATATTGGCCACCACTCAACAGCCAGCAAGTATCGATTTAAAGCTTTCGTGACTGCAAGGATTCATCTTCTTTGGTTCTTTCGGTAAAGTCACGTAGAATGAGAATAAAATAATAAATTGATAAAATAAAATAACAATAATATTCTCGCGACGTTTCGGCCACAACACAAGCGGCCTTCATCAGGTGAAGGGACGAGACTGTCTGGAGGACAGCGCTGTCCTCCAGACAGTCTCGTCCCTCTCATTCTACGTGACTTTACCGAAAGAACCAAAGAAGCCAGCAAGTAATCTTGATTTGAAGCTTCCGTGACTGCAGGAATCCATACTCTTTGGTTCTTTCGGTAAAGTCATGTAGGTAGAAAATAAAATAAATCACGTTTCGGGCGCAACACAAGCGTCCGTCATCAGTACAAGTACAGCCCTTTTGCCATGCAATGCTGGATTAGAGGTTCATGGGGGGGTTATCTGACCAAACAGTATCACGGCTTCTCAATGCACATTGGTGTCATATTTGCAAGTAATTTTTGATCTCTCCCTTGTAGACAAATTATCTAACAGCAATAAAATTCATGAAAAACGTTTAAAGCGCCTCCCCAGTTACAGACGGAGGTAATAACGCATTAACACCCTTTCAACCTTTGGTGGAAAGCGTGAACATTTTCCGAAAGAAACGCAACACAGACAAGTGGAAAGAGACAATGAAATGTAGAAGGGCTGCTTCATCACAGAACCACGGTGCGAACATTCTAGGCTCGGGCCCGGAACGTTTTTCGTCTGTGTGTCTAAACTACACGACAAAACAATTTTATTTTACCAGGTAAGACCCACTGAGCTATACAGCTCTTTTTTCAGAAGTGACCAGGCCACAAATGATAGCTAAACGAAGTGGCTTATCATGTGGAAATGAATAGCAGCTGAATACTATAAACGCATGTTTCTAACTGTGGAGGGAAACGCCTGGAGGATTCGGGAGAAAAATCCAGGCGACCATGGGGAGACAAATGCAAACTCCAAAAATACAGCAGGCATCGGGGTCGGAATCAAACCCACGACCGACCTACTGCATACCAGGCGAGGAAGTTAACATCTCGCCTCCACTGCCCCTATACCCACAACCCGTCCCCCTTTGGCTACCTCTGCGGGGTCCTGTACTTCCAAGCGCGTCTCCGGTGGCGCCTTGACGGCGATGACCGTCTGCTCGCGCAGGCTGCTCACGCCGCGGATGTCGTGGTACGTCACGTACGCCAGCGTGAGGCCCCGGCACGGAGGGGGGGGGCAGTGTCAAGGGGAACAGCGACACTTACGTAAACCCATCCCAATTGAATGCCGACCGCAAAAAACGTCAACGCTAAAACAGACCATCAGCCATCCGAGTCGGTTAGTCGGAGTGAGCACGACTCCGTATGTAGGTCAGTCTGAGAGTTGGTCCGAGCATTGATCATAGTGGATCATCATTGAGAGTCACCATACCTAACCTCGCCCACCACTTCCCCAGCCCCTTCCCTAACTTGTTACAAACACACGAACAAGGCAAAGGCATAACTTTCAACCTTAGTTGCAAAGTATTCAAAAGTAATCTCCATTCTGACGGCACGGAGCCCCCCCCCCCCCCCCCCCCCACCATCCCCACCTCGTGTAGGTGCCACAGCGCTCCGAGGCCAAAATGTGGAGCAATGTGGGCACACTAGGGAGTGGCAGCAGAGTGCAGGGAAGGATATCTCTGGTTGTGCGAGTCCTCTGTCAGTTGCTTGAGAGTGGCCGTGCAGCTCCCGATGAGGTCGTCGAGGGCGCGCTCCTTGCGACTCAGCTCGGACACCTCCTGGGGCAGCCCTCGGGCCTGGGTACCAGTCTCCAGGGGCGACTGCCCGCTGAGTAGTAACAAGACAAAAAAAAAAGGTCCCCAATGGAGCCGTGACAACACTGTTGGGAGAAAGTGATGTTAGGGAGCAACTGTTGAGGCCGGCAGGCACACAAGAGGGTGGGTGGTCAGCACCACCCTCGGCAAGCTTCGTCTCTCCAATGCTGGTAACTACACATGGCACTAAATGTTTACACATTTAAGGCTGAATCGACTTACGGGAGGCCCTGTACCAGTTCAGTTATTCATCACCGATGTTGGCCGTGAGCCGGAATCGAAATTAGGTCATCGCGTTAGTAGTGCAGTGCCCCTAACCACTACACTACCGCACCCCCACACACACACGCGTGTGGTCAGGCACATATACACACACGGACCCAAGCACGCATACGCAAACTCACGCACAAGACACGCACGAAAAACATATATACACACACCATCACAAGGGAACACAAGCACAAAGGGAACAAAAACAAACACAAGCAGAAGCCCTCACTCCGACCGGATCACCCCCCCCATCTGATCTCCGATTCAGCGATTCCGCAGCCCGGATGGGATTACTTACACCCACTGAATGTGGTTCTTGGACTTCTTGCGGATGAGGTGAATGCCCTCCAGGACATTGGTGATGTCGTAGATGCGCCGCTTCTGCACGGCCAGCGTCTCGGCGGCGCGGTTCAGGTCAACAACGCCGTCCGACGACTGGTTCATGAGTCCCAGGAACTTCTTGGTGAGGAGCCCGAGCGAGGTGTCGTAGCGGGAACGCTCCGAAGGCGACTTGGGAGCTTCCGTAATGAAACACGCACGCACGCACACGCACACATACACCACCTCGACATCAGCAAACATCATCCTCTTCATCCCAAAAAAACATGATCGGCATATGGGAGGAAACTGGAGTAACCAGTGGAAAACCTTCACATCATAGGAGACGACAATTCTCAATGGTTCCCAGGTTCATCTTCTTGGCTATTTCATAGCTGCTTGGGTTTGGGATTTTAAAAAATCTACTTTCTCTCTCCCACTTACTCTGTGACCTATAAACACGAAAGAAGAAGCACCCCTAAGAGGATGACCACCATGGAGATGAAGCAATGAGATTTGCTAATGCGTAGAAGCTTGATGGGGGCTTTGCGCTGTGGAACCGCGAGGGATGACAACTCGTGGAGGGCTTTATCAAGCAGTGGATAGACCATGGCTGATGAAGATGATCAATGCCCTGCGTTTCACTTCTTAATTTTCCCCTGAACAGGGCACAATCAGGGGTACTTCCCTTTCTGTTTGTGTGTGCCTGTGTATACACACGTGGGCGTGTATGTGTGCGTGTATAAAAAGCAGCCATCTCCTGCTTATTTCCTTTGTTTTCATGTTTGTACGAACACCGAGCCAAAACACGCTGGGTGGATGCAACCATTTTGTTGAACGTTTGTCATGAAAATGTCACTATACTTTGCCCAAAGGGTCAATATCTTCCCCACAACTTTCTCATTCCTGCTACTGCCAAACATCACGCACGACTTGCTCTCGGCAGAGTTTGAGAATTACCGGCGCTTCAGCCCGCTTCCGGCAGATAATGTACTTGGTGTGGACCGTTCAGCAATCCGTGCGAGCCGCGGGGGGTTATTTGAGCATACTTCAGACAATGGTCAGTACGGGTTGAAGTGGATAAGGTGGCATAAATGTAGGGGCACAGAAGTAGAGTACGACGATGAAATTGGTTGAACTGCCCGCTTCTGCCCACCGCATAGCCCGACAGGCAGCACCTTCTAACACCGGTATCCAGCCCATGGGCTATCTCCGGCCCACGGGCTGTAAGGTTTCCCACCCGTGTGTTGTACTCTGTGCCGAGGGTCGTGCGCACGTAGCGTGGAGGCCATGGACCGAGGCCGTCTCCACCACGCGCCACCTCGGAGTTGCTCTCCTCCGCGATTAATCTACTCGGGACGCACGGGGCAGCATTGCCAGCGACCAAGTGAGGGAGCGGAGGAGTGGCCCTATGGCAACCTGCTTGTGCATGCCAGTCGCCCATCCGAGCACTATCCAGGCTCAACCTTGCCATCTGACGCAAGAGCAGGCACATGCCGGCTAGGAGCACCGGCAGGTCTCTGCTGGTGTAAGAAGATGGCCGCTGGCACAGAGGTCAGAGCACTTAGCTGGGACCGCTAAAATTCTAGGGTGGATCCCAGGCAGCCGTTTGTGATTAAACTGGGTTGTAATGCGTAGCAAATTCATCATCTCAACCCTGTCACCAATGATTACATTGGGATGAATTCCAGCTCAGAGAATTAAAATGATCTGGCAGCATGCACCTAACATTGCTCTGATTTACAGAGTGAGTGGGAAAGTGCTGTCCCCTACTGTGTCGACCAGAGGTCACTTAAAGGAATCTCGGAGGAAGCTCTCTAGTATCCATTAAATGCTATATTGTATACAGCATCTAGATGTGGTTGCATATCCATGCTATATAAAATCAACGTGCTCCAGTTTCCTCCCATGTGCTACGCAATAATGGAATTGGTAATGGAATTGGTCAATAAAGAATGTTCATTATATAATCACCACTGATTTTGGCAATGGCCACGAGTCAAACTCATGTCGTCAGGTCTAGTAGTGCTCTAATCACTACCCATGCCACCCGAGAGAGAGACAACAAAGTATCTCCGTAGCCTAAACAGACTTTTGGGGCAAGTGCCGTTAGCGAGCACCTATGAAGGCTGGCACGGCACGCGAGGGGGTGGTGGCTAGCACCTTGCCCGGCCGCCTTTGTCTCCCCAGCGATGTTCAAACTCTGAACAAGAAACGAATTTAAGGCAAAGCCGACCTAGGTAGGCCTCGGACTGATTCAGATGTTGGTTAGAGATTGTTGACTACGAGTTGAAATTGAAGTTGGGTCTTTGGTTTTGTAGCAGTGCACTAACCGCTACACTACTGCTCCCTACACAGTGCCACATGCATGCGCGCACACACACACATAGGTCGTGTGGGATCCCCGTGCACTCACTGCGGGGGCTGTGCGAGCGATAAGGCGTGCGTCCCTTCCCCCTGGGCGTGTGGAATTCCCCGCTCAGGTACTGGTGGTCAGGAACTTCCAACTCCAACTTTCTCTTCGCCTGCATCACAATTCACACGCAAAGACAGATACACAAATATGCGTAAATTAAGACAAAACTTCCACATTCATAGCTCAGACTACTGGGGCAAGTGCTCCAATAAAGCATCGTACTCAAGAATGTAAATGTTGTGGCTTGGCTCTCCAACACACCGGTGTGCTGTACTAGTGAGGAATTGGCACGTTCTGTTTACGTGACAACCCTTACTAGTTGGGTGTGTCGGGTGGTGGCAGGTTTTCACGACAAATTTATATATTTACGCGATCTAACCCAAAGAACCTACATTATGGATAAAGCATCTTTTACATATATGCAAGCACATACAAAAAGTACAAACATACGTGCACACGCATACTACTGCACAACAAGCCATTTGCCACCAAGTGGCAGTGACATCACCAGTGTTTGCACCAAGCTAGGTGCCCTCTTTATACAAAATAAAGAGACGCACACATAAGAGGGGGTGAGGAGTAAGGAATGAAACAAGGAGGGTGGAGAAAGCCAAAGGTGGCATCACGGTGTGGTAGCGCGGCGACAAGATTGCTGCAGAGGTTTGTGGTTAAAGCCCTGTGGCCATCCTGGTTAATACTGAACGGTGCATCAATAAAAATATATACGCCGTCTGCTTCACAGTTGATGTTAAAAATCCTGTATCGTTATAAAAAAAAAAAGTAGGCCATGAATGCCGGCATCACGGGTAAAAACTGCATACCGACATCGCCCATACTAGCAGACTATACCCGTCGGACAAACAGAGCCTTTGTGATAGCCTCACGCTATAAGAATGGTGTGAATACCAAACGTGCTAAATTACTATTATTACTATAAAGGGGGGCAGGTTTTCAAGGTTTGCTGTGGGTTGGGTGGGGGGGGGGAGGCACTCGGCATGGGAAGGAAGATGCAGCGGCCGACCAACCCGGGGGGGGGGGGGTTCTTCAATTACGCAATGGACGAGTTGTGCGGCGGCTTTCGGGCAGCGTCAACCCACTGGCCTTTCGCTGGTGCCTCGACTTTCTCAGGACGCCGCTGCACATCTTTTACCCATTACACACGCACGAGATGTAACATTGCCGAGTACTGTACTCTGGTTTGCTTGCAAAAAATATATAAAATGAGTCGACGTCGAATGGAAATTGTTGATGAAGTCGCCGTTGCTCATTTTGTTGGTGCTCCTGAACATTTTAGTTCATGGCCCTTTGTCAAAGCACTGTTAGATGATGGCCTCCTGCCTTTACATGCCAAATTAGTTGTGGGGGTTGTTTGACGATACTTCACCAATGCTGGTCTGTGCAGGGTTGGTAAGTGAGGGGCCCAAACCGATTCAGATATAACTCGCCACTTGTATCAAACTCAGGTTTCCGGGTTCAATGCACAACGCACTAACCATTACGCCACCGCTGCTCCGATCCCTCATACTTAATATATTAATGGCGATGAAAGTTTGGTAAATTTCTCATCACCACCGTCACCATTGTCATCATCATCCTCCAAGTTCCACGTATTGCCTTCCTTCAGAATGGCACACCAGAGAAATTCCTCTGTGCACAGCCATGTGGAGCGTTCAGGAAATGGTCCAATTTATGGATGAAGTAACCGCACAGGCATCGCAGGCCAGGAAAAAAAATCTAACGCAAATCGTAACCACAACTGAAACTTTCAATGACACATTCAAAACAAAAGCTGCAACACCACCACCAATAACAAATATTTACAACCTTCATTAACCTCGGTCGGTAACATGCACGCATAATCTAAATCCACGGGGGTGCCACGCCTGACAAAAGAAGTGAGCGAGCAATGGCACGAGCGTGTGAGTGAGAATGCGGGCGGCCCAAACTCCATGCAGGAACCGCTCAGCGTCTGAGAGACCAGACAGGAAACAGATGGTGCCTGCGTGAGCATGCGAGCGCACGATTGACCATCAGGGTCGACCAACTCGCTCGCGCTCTCGCCGAACAACACCAGTCGGCGCTAGATAAGCAGGAAAAAAAACGGTTCGCGATGCTGGCCCAAGTTCGTTCCTGCTGTGCAAGCAATCTCAAGTTCATTAATAAACTCGCGAAAAAATTACAATCGCGCGAGAAAACGTTCCTCGTTTTTCCTTATCAGATATTGCCTTTGGGAATGGCCCTGCTGGTGGACTACTTTGCAATTCAGCTTTATTTTTATACTGATACACAGTATCACAGGCAATCATGGGACTTGTGGCTTAGTAGAGGAGACTTAGGGCAAATGCTGCTAAGCGAGCGCCTATGAAGACCACCACAGAATAGTGTGGACAGCACTAGGACTGGTCACTTTTGTTTTCGTACGAGTGCTGCTGTGTACACACCATACTGGGTACCCATAGGAAGGCCCAGGAGGGGCTCAAATACCAAATCCCACTGATGTTGAAGGTCAAATGTTTGGGAATCTAACCTTGGATCCTTGGGATCACGATGCATGCAGTGCGCTAACAATTGCACCACGACTCCCACTATATGCAATTACACGTAAAAAAAGACAATCCCCCATATAGCCTTCAACAGACTGTGGTGAGAACCACGCCCGGCCACCTTTGTCTCCCCAGCGCTGATGTTCTTTTAAAAATGCACCAGGTACTGTACTAATTTTAAGCCTGAGTAGACCTCGGAGAAGCCAAACAACGATGCATATATTCACCCCCCGATGTTGGAAGCAAGTGAGATTCAACTCAGGTCTCTCCGTTCAAAGTACGGTGCGCGCTCATCACTGCGGCACCGCTCAGCACTTCACGCGCTTTTGAGTTGGTAGACGTCTCCGATGCTCACAAACGGAGTGGTGTTGTCAGAAGCGAGAAGCAGTTGAGTAATAATTGTGGGCGACTACATTGAGATAACAATAGCAACGTTCAGCACATCGTACAGCCAATGTGATGATGACGATACAATTCAGGCGGATTTCTAGAAAACGTGGCTCAATGTCACCGGGGAAAAAAGAAAGCCACTTGGCCAATCCTGCCAGCTGCAAGTGATTGCCAAGTCCAAAGCAATTTCGCAGGTGAACACTCCTTCCTTTAAAAGTGAAAGTGAGCAAATTTATTTATATAAATATTTATTGTTTGATCTGATTTCATGGAAATAAATGAGTCCAGCAACCCTGTTTGCCGTTTTCATTTTAAATAAAAAAAAACTGAAGACCATTCAGCATTTTCTTGTGTGGTTGTTCCACCTGATGAAGATTGCTTCTGTTGCGATCGAAACGTCGTGATTTGTTTTATTTTATTTCTACCTACGTGACTTTACCGAAAGAACCAAAGAGTACCATTAAATATAGTTTAGAGCCTTGTCTACAAATCGACAATTTATTTTCAGGATTCCATCAATACATCTTGGTTTATAAATTTGTTCTGGTTTTACACGACCAGGATGATAAAGGTATTTGTTTTCCTTGCTAATACTTTTCCAGTATAATTACCTGCAAATTATCCAGTTTTTAAAACAATGACAACCCTTACATTCAAATCCAGTACAGTTGAAACAACCTCTAAACACTGGTAAAATGAAAATTGTATACTGCAACATTAGAGAGCCTCTTTAGAAACATGTTTTGTAAAAATATCTAAAAACCCATACAATAAATAATATACCAGGCTTGAATACAAAATGTATCAATTTAATTCAAGCAAAACTAAATATTTGTAATGGCACAATTGGAAGAAAATAATTTTCCATCCTAACATTACTCCGCTGCTCATGGCTTCTCAAGACCGTATCGGTCTTGTTTGACCATACTTCACTGATATTGGTTAGTCCAGGCTGGTAAAGAGGGGGGGGGGGCAGGAGCAGTTCAGGTATCACTCACCATTGGCAGTGAAAAATCCACATTCTTATGGCAGGAAACAGTTGCTATAAAAGGGGCAACCGATTTTGACTTTCCACAGTATTGGTAGGCCTCATAACAAGTAAAAAATCACGGATGAAATTAATTCACTCACCCCTGCACGAAACAATGGTGAAGACTCTTTTATTCCGTGGTCCAGACCCCCGGGAGAAATGGCGACAGCCAAACTACACCCTCACTGTCAGCAGCTGTGTGGGGGGGGCAAGCACAGTGGCCCATTGACTCCTCTCCTGACAGCGCAACACCTGCCAGCATCAACTCCGACCCCCCTCGAGTGACAGCACAACACCTGCTCGGGCTCCCGCGGTCAGATTCCATCAAGTGGCGACAGTAAAACTCACCCAGGGGGATTCAACCACTGGTTTCACTCGATGGGACGGGGAAGCGTGCACTCAACACGCGCGTGCACACACAGGCGTGCTTGGGACTCGTTCGATCGCAGCTGCCCGGGTTAAGAAGCGTCCGAACGCCGCATTTTACCGGGCGACGCTGTAAGCCGGTGACACCAAAGCCACACATGAACGATTTTAAACAACAGCAATACCGGCATGGCTGCTATTTTTGTATCACTCCAACTCTTAAGTTGAGGAGCAGGCTTTCGCATTTCGGCAAAAAAGGCGTCTTTCGACCGATTTTGCCTTTTAAAAAGTGGCACTTTGCATTTTGTCAAGGGGCACTCCAACACCAAAAATCTGGTGGAGATAAAAAGGCCTTTCATAAAGATGGGGTGGCAGGCTCCAAATTCTTTTTTTTACCCTACAATTTTAAATCCGGGTGTTGACATTTTTTACTAATGCCCAAAAAATTCTGCAAAAGTAAGAAATAAACATTAAAACAAGTTCCATATATATGGGTAGCCTTGTTTTTCTTTACAGGAAATTAGCTCCAAGATACACGTGCCTAACCCAACATGACTGACGAAGGTTTTGAAACAACTCGCAGAAGGATGCTTGCAGGAAAAATTACGAAATATGAATGCCAAGTTTTGATTATTTGTGTAGTACTTTAGGTTGCGACTATATCACTCGGGAGATATCGTTACATCTCGGAAACTATGTAGGCTTGAGCCTGCATAGTTCTTGGGTGGACAACCACCACGCATAAAAACAGGTGTTGTAGGCTGCTGGTGGGCTACATTA